TAACTCGATGTTACGAAATAATTCATCTAGACGTTGTCGGTCCGTGAGAACGTTTCTCCTGAGGAGGGATGCTTTGAGCAACTCGTACGAGTTACTTACCTCGGGACTGAACATCTGTGATGTTACGTACTTGCTGAATTCCCGCGGTAGGGCGTGAATAACTGCAAGTAACTGTGAACGTTGATCGGTTATCCCATGCTCACAAAAATCTGCTTCAGCTAGCAGAAACCACGTTTCAGCATTATCTGGCCAGTATGGTACGAGCTGAATGGTTTTAGGAGTTGAGCGGATACGGATGACCTTGGGACTAAGATCACTCATGACGAAAATTATGTCGAATAATATATGGTACAAGAACAAATACAAAATGGAACGAACTCACCGGGGTTATCTGCGGATTTATCGTGGATGAAGTTCGCGGTTGGGCTCACCAGTTTGGAGGGTTGACGGAAACTCTTGTACAGCAACTTCTAATTTATTAATTCTCGCGTACCAAAAGCAAAGCAAAAGCCAATATTTGATCGTCCAAACTACGTGATATATTTCGGGACCAAAACAAGCCATCAGACGAACGCTTAGCTGGCTAGTGATCGTGCACGTGACACGACGGAGTACCAAATGGCGGGGATGCTTGACCGGAAGCCTTCAGCTAAACAAGTCGACTTAAACAGTGGTGGTCAGCATCCAATGAGTGATTGCTGTGGTCAATAATTTTGGGGAATTATTTACCGCTACAAGATAAATGATTGAACAGAAACAGAAATAATTGCTATACACAACCGGGATGATCGTACCTTCTGAAAGACATCTCTCAAGATTCGGCTCATTTCCTGGGGTGATCTAACCTTGAGTTATCATGTGTGGATAACGCCGAAGAAGAGTTTTAAGCCTACAAGGGAAGAAGATGCAAGTCTAAACATTGTGAAAGCAGCCTTTATTTTGTGCCAAGTATTCGGTAAATAGAGAAGGGCTGCATTTAATCCCACCTTCAGTACCATTGACTTGTACTAACCAGCATATTATCAGATTGTAAATTGAATTTTCAGCCACTTCCATCGTGTCCTGAAGCCGCATGTTGTAAAAACTTTCGCGTTTAGGGAATCAGGAGACGCCTCTATCCAAATGAGTTTCAGGCGTTTAACCATGATAAATCCATTCGTCGTTTCTACCACTAGAGTTAAATAAGGCCGATGATCTATGATGCTGAAGAAGAACAATGGTTTCAATAAGCCTTTATTTCCGAAAGTACAACGGAGGGCAAGTGAAGCGAGGGATACTTATTCAAACAAATGGTGGGGCATTCAGGATTCGATAAACAGAGAAAGCCTAACAAATCATAAAGAAGGTTTAGTTCCAACTTAGCTGCTCGTTCCTTTCCTTTGAGTTGTTCAATCAGTCACAACATCTGAGTAGCCAAATAATATAATGTTTTTAAGGCCCTACAGGTTCACTGTGTTTTTGCAGAGTAAAAGGACATGACTCAAAAGTGTGAGGCAGCATTACTGTTATATTTTAAATCGTTTTGTAGATTCATCGCACATGGAATAGTACTACTTACCGTTTGACGTTTCAAACGGCAGTTATTTGGCATTATCTATTTTGAAGGGTCGCCAGCTGGTTTATCCGGCGCATGACGAGGTTTCAGTTATTAGTTCACAAAACAACAGCATTACTTTATAGACATTCACTAATATACGTTTAACTTTTGAAATTGCTGTCTCACTAAATCCATAACATTGATCATATATCAGTATCAAATAACATTTTCTGATCAAAGTGAAGCAGATGTAACGCAGTTCAAGAGTATATTCCGCCTGACAATGTGAGGGCCAGAAAAATTCCTAAATGTAAAATATCGCTTAAAAAGCGTGGACCATAATCTGTGATTTCACCACAATAATTGGGAGTAACGACGCTAAAATTGACCGAGATATGCAGCAAAGCCAAGCCGTGTAAAACATGTGTTGTCCAAAAACCTATCTCAAGGTATCTTTCCAAATAACCGAATAATGTTAATTATATAATCACATATATAATACAGATATTTAAAAAATTTAAGAAAGATTCCTAAAAATGGCGACTGCGAAATTTCCCGTAGCTATAAGGCAACCCTGTGAAACTTAGAATAATGTTTTGAGTATCGAATAACCAACTCGATTTCAATGCAAACGGTATTGAAAGACGGGTAGTAAGTCGAAGATTTATTGATCAACCAAGTGTATGCCAATATATCTAGTTAGTTACATAGCGGTCTGACTTTACGACTCTGAGTTGGTTACTATCAGTACACTAAAAGGTCTACATATAACACCAGTGTAATACACATCAATACTCCCGGTCGTATTGCTCTGGTCTTCTGTTAGCGAGCAAATATATAGGCCAAGAGAAGAATTATGGCCTAATAGGAACAGGAAAGACCGACAACTGTTAGTGAAGAGGTATGGATATCCGCCGATTCGTATATTGGGTCCTAAAGGATTTCTTGTTATGTATAATAATAATAATGTATATTCTCATATAAACATATAAATTTACATGAAAATGCATGCCATTTTTACAGGCACGATCAAGTATGATATAATATCAAATCGTAGATTGTCTACAAGTTAATAATGTTTCAACAGTTAAATATTTGATATATATATAAATACACATTGTCTGAACTAGGCTGTATAGTTATTGAATTGTACAGTTGTCCTCCAGGTTGAGCGGGAAAATCGACTTCGTTTCGTTTTCATCCCGTGGTTGTCGGCATACGATAACCAACCAATATTGAGGTAAGTACAGCGTTTGCAAGGGATTGAAAGCTGTTTTAGAAAAGTAAAAGTGCTGAGGTGAATCATTAAATTGTAATGAAATAGGTAAGTGCAAGTATCATTAATAAATGCATTAAAAAAAGAAAACTCCCTAGGCTGACAACGTTCATTTGCAATGTATAATGTTACACGTATACCACGTACTATCATGATGTCCACTTTTGGTTTTAATACATTTATCCTCAGTTGTGCCAGTTGTTTTTGTTTTATACCTTTTCGTGCATTTAATGTACAACCGTACCCTTCAGAGAGTAGGAATATAATAAGTCATAAAGAGCTGTAAAATGTTAGGTTTAATGGGATATAATGAGGATCAAGTAAAGACGTTATTGGAAAATGAATGAGATAAGACATTGTGAAGTGGTATTTAAAGATCAGTCAATGGACAGCAAGTTAGTTTATAAGATGCCCCATAAAACTGTGCACATCCCACATGGTCGCATCTCAACAATAGGCTGGGCGAATAGTATATATTTAGAGGTAGAAGCATTATCTGTCAAGGCGTTCATTATTATCTTTTTCAAGATAAAGATCTAAGCCGTCATAAAAATCAGAAATATCTCGAGCCTTTAATTTGTATATTGATGTTCCTGCAGAATGGGGCGATTCACCTTAGTGACCCCCACCATATCTACCGATCAGCTAGCAGCACCCTGCCTCATTTTTTGATGTTAGGCTCTAAGACTATGATTATTATGGTTACCGCAAATCTATTGCTTGGTACCAGACATGTTCGTACCCCATATCCATCTGCCTGGCGGAATATACTCTTGAACTGCGTTACATCTGCTTCACTTTGATCAGGAAATGTTATTTGATACTGATATATGATCAATGTTATGGATTTAGTGAGACAGCAATTTCAAAAGTTAAACGTATATTAGTGAATGTCTATAAAGTAATGCTGTTGTTTTGTGAACTAATAACTGAAACCTCGTCATGCGCCGGATAAACCAGCTGGCGACCCTTCAAAATAGATAATGCCAAATAACTGCCGTTTGAAACGTCAAACGGTAAGTAGTACTATTCCATGTGCGATGAATCTACAAAACGATTTAAAATATAACAGTAATGCTGCCTCACACTTTTGAGTCATGTCCTTTTACTCTGCAAAAACACAGTGAACCTGTAGGGCCTTAAAAACATTATATTATTTGGCTACTCAGATGTTGTGACTGATTGAACAACTCAAAGGAAAGGAACGAGCAGCTAAGTTGGAACTAAACCTTCTTTATGATTTGTTAGGCTTTCTCTGTTTATCGAATCCTGAATGCCCCACCATTTGTTTGAATAAGTATCCCTCGCTTCACTTGCCCTCCGTTGTACTTTCGGAAATAAAGGCTTATTGAAACCATTGTTCTTCTTCAGCATCATAGATCATCGGCCTTATTTAACTCTAGTGGTAGAAACGACGAATGGATTTATCATGGTTAAACGCCTGAAACTCATTTGGATAGAGGCGTCTCCTGATTCCCTAAACGCGAAAGTTTTTACAACATGCGGCTTCAGGACACGATGGAAGTGGCTGAAAATTCAATTTACAATCTGATAATATGCTGGTTAGTACAAGTCAATGGTACTGAAGGTGGGATTAAATGCAGCCCTTCTCTATTTACCGAATACTTGGCACAAAATAAAGGCTGCTTTCACAATGTTTAGACTTGCATCTTCTTCCCTTGTAGGCTTAAAACTCTTCTTCGGCGTTATCCACACATGATAACTCAAGGTTAGATCACCCAGGAAATGAGCCGAATCTTGAGAGATGTCTTTCAGAAGGTACGATCATCCCGGTTGTGTATAGCAATTATTTCTGTTTCTGTTCAATCATTTATCTTGTAGCGGTAAATAATTCCCCAAAATTATTGACCGCAGCAATCACTCATTGGATGCTGACCACCACTGTTTAAGTCGACTTGTTTAGCTGAAGGTTTCCGGTCAAGCATCCCCGCCATTTGGTACTCCGTCGTGTCACGTGCACGATCACTAGCCAGCTAAGCGTTCGTCTGATGGCTTGTTTTGGTCCCGAAATATATCACGTAGCTTGGACGATCAAATATTGGCTTTTACTTTGCTTTTGTTACGCGAGAATTAATAAGTTAGAAGTTGCTGTACAAGAGATTCCATCAACCTCTAAAATCTCGACATCATTCTGAATGTTTCTATGGCCAAAGTTACCTGTCAAAAATGACATCCAAAGAAGATTTAAAACAGTTAAAACTAGTGCCATTTAGAATAAGACCACACGACCTGAAACATCATCTGCTCTTACTGCAAGGTATGAGATGCCCTGAGGCATAATCGTTATACTAGATGCACACCATTTAAACAGTCTCCACACTAAGAATCTACAGCATCCGTAGAACAAACTTACAAGTGTGCCTCTCCGTCTCTGTTAGTCCTAAATACTTGAAACGTTTTTGCCCTACAGTAAAAAAGTGGTAAACTAAAGGCTTCTGTTTGAAAGATCTGAAAGTTTTATGAGCTTTTGGCCTAACTTAGTCGTTGATGGCCTTCGTAATCCTGGAATGTAGCGTCCAAATTACCCAAGACGTGCCGCGAATTTCACAAACACTTCGGAATGAGGACGAGCAACGGTCTGAACGGCGGAAATGGACCCACGTACCACTGTCATTCTACGAATAATTCGATAAAATTAACATACTGACAGCACAATTTGACTTCTAAGCATAATGCCAAATCTTTCAGTGATCAGTGAAGATGAGCACTTGTACTTACGGAAAAATCAATTAAATGCCTATTAACAAGTGTTTGGTTCTGTCAGACATGCTTTTAAATTAATTTCTATGATGAATCGCCGTATATTATGTCAATACCAGACATCGACATATCCCTTTTCGGATTGTTTGTTAGGAGTAAAATGAGTCATCTGAAGCAGGATTGGTGATGACGCTCTACCACCACGCAGTATTTCTAAGGGACTTAAACGCATAGGTCACGAAACGAGAAATCTGGCCCTCAGATTACAAACCTTTCATGTGAGGCAAATTCTAGTTTTCAAAGATGTAGGCACGTTGTTTTCCCCTTGCTGCCATTGCTGTGAACTTGAAAGTGAGCACAGCATGATCACTTCTTTCTAAAGAGGAAGATTTTGTATGAGATCCACATCCTCACCGTGGGAGAACACTAGGTCCAGAGATGAGGACTGCGGTACATAGCATTGAGGTCAATGTCTTAGATGCATAGGCCAAGACATTGGCTCCATTGCCGTGTACCACAGTCCTGACTGCAGTGCAGATGACTTCCCAATAGAGAAGCTAGGCTCCTGGACTTCAAAATGTCGAAGTCTCGTAGTCGGTGACTTCAACGCCCCAACAGTTGACTGAACGAGCCTAAAAACTCCATCTTCAGTCAACTCCTTTGATCATAAACTGCTGGAATCTAGTATATCGCTAGCCCTAGTCCAACATACCATTTAGTCCACGCGCTATGACTCACAGCACTCCTCCTCAACCCTGGACCTAGTGTTCTCCCACGGTCAGGATGTGGATCTCATGCAATATCTTCCTCCTTTAGGAAGAAGTGATCATGCTGTACTCACTTTCAAGCTCACAGCAACGGCAGCAAGGGGCAAAACTAAATATTGACCAGACGTTTGGAAAGCTAATATAAATGCAATCGTCTCAGCAGCCTACTCAGTAAACTGGTACATCAGCCCAGAGTCCCAAGTAGAAGCCGCATGGAACCAATTTAAACAACTTTACGCCCAAGTAACTGAACCTTTCATCCCTTGGTCCGTCGCAAAGGGTTGGAATCATTGCCCCGCTTGGATAAACCGAGATATTCGTAAGTTACTCAGACGTAAACACAAATATTGGAACCTGTTTGCCACACTTGAGACTTTTGAGACCAGGAAATTATATAACACCGCTAGAAACAAGTCTAATTCAAAAAGCCGCCAATCAAGGATGAAGTTCAAAGCACATCTGGTTCAAAATGCAAAGGCAGAACCTAAGAAAATTTTCTTGTACATGAACTTCGGGAATAAAACATCCAATAGTGTCCCAAATCTGATCATTGGCAATGACACAATCGAAGAAGATCAAGAAAAACCAGAAGCAATGGCGGACTACTTCTCCCAAGTCTTCACTCGGAAGTCATCACTCCCTGTAGGATCAGCTCTGGCTGCATCAGAAGAATACGGGATAGATTCCGTTGACACCGACCAAGGCATCGTGCTCAACTGCCTAATGAAACTAGATGCAGGGAAATCAATGGGTCCTGATAATCTTCATCCAAGGCTTCTCAAGGAGCTAGTAGCCCACATAGCCAGCCGCTTGACCACGATCTTCAAGCTATCTCTGCTAAATGGAGTGTTACCGCGTGACTGGAAAGACGCCATATTAACCCCCATCCAAAAAGGAGGATCAAGACAAAGCCCTTCAAATTACAGGCCTATCAGTCTCACCAGCACTTTAATCAAGACACTGGAAATAATCATCAAGAAAAGAGTCATGGTATATCTGGAAAACAACAGCTTGTTATTTGGAGCACAACATGGCTTCCGGAGGAACCTCTCATGCCTGTCAAATCTCCTCACTGCAAGAGAAAGCTGGGCCAAATGTAGGGACAACATAAGACCCGTTGACGTCGTCTCCATAGACTTCAGTAAAGCCTTTGATAAAGTATTTCACAAAAGGCTGATCATGAAGCTGGAAAGTCTTAGTATCAAAGGCAGATTACTAAACTGGCTCGGGGAATTCCTCATAGATAGAAGGCAGAGGGTTAGGGTATACTCGAAACTCTCCTCTTGGACAGCAGTACGTAGCGGAGTGCCACAAGGCACGGTACTCGGACCTCTCCTATTTATTCTGTATATCAATGAGTTACCTCTGCTCACCGACTCCCCTATGGTCCTATACGCAGATGACTTAAAAATTTGAAGAGAGCTGAAGGGCAACAGTGATACGTCCACGTCACAAGAGGACCTCAACAAATTGTCAGAGTGGTCTGTAGAATGGATGCTCCCGATCAATGCGGCAAAATGTGCAACTATGCGCATTGGACAAGCAAGCACAAGCTCCTACGAACTAGAGGGAATGACACCTCCATCAGTCCAGACTCATTTGGACTTATGTGTCATAGTTAGCCACGACTTAAAAACTACAGCACACTGTCGCGCGGTGGCAGCACGTCGTTTTAGGTCCTTATGGGCACTTCGCAGAGCCTTTACTAGAATCACCAGAGATATGTTCACCTCCTTATATACATCTCTGGTCAAGACTGGAAAACTGCATCCAGGCCGCCAGTCCCTGTCTGGAAGGGGACTCACACATTCTAGAAAGGGGTTCAAAGGAAGGTAACACGTACGGTTCACGGTATAGCTAACTTATCATACGAGGAAATATTAGACAGTTTAAATCTCTTCTCCCTGTCATACCGTAGGCAGAGAGGAAATTTAATCACAATGTTTAAAATTTTAAATAATGATTACGGACCTGACCTATTCTCTCTTTTCCTTCCCACCGGGTCGGAACACCTTAGAGGACAGAGCAGGAGAGTTCAAAAGCCAAGAAGAAATCATATATTGCTGCTGAGTACTGGTTCTTATACCAAGTCGTAAACTCTGGTAACTGACTCCCAGAAGAAATGGTGTCTGCAACCTCAACTGATTCGTTCAAGAAGGGTTTGGACAACCACGGAAATGTACTAGAAAAGGATTAACATAGGCCCCAAGCCTTGTATCTTCAACCAATAAATCTGAAATCTGGCGCGACGTCTAAATTAGCTGTTACTTTTCAAAGGTAGGTTGTGTTATCGTGCTTCCAGGTGTTTATTTAGCAAATTTGACCGCTCATTTTGGTCAAAGGAAGGTTATTTTTACTCCAAGTATCCACATAAATGCTTATGACTTATCTGCTTCACTATTAAGCTCTGTGCTATTGAGATAACTGTCTATAGACAAACTTCGGGCGCACTGCAGACTTTTTCGGGGCAGACACAGGGCAAATTGCAGACTTTTTGAAAGCAGACTTGATGCAAATTGCAGACTTTTTGGGGCGAATTTCGGGACAGTGTCCCACGTAAGTAGATCTACCCGAAGATTTTTCCCCCAAAAGTCTGCAATGCGCCCGATAAAAAGCTAGTTGGGTAGCTATATAGTTAGAGTAGTGAATATTCACTACCTTAAGTCATATTTAGTGTCATGGAAATTTTGTGGAGACTATAAGGAAAGTGTGTTGCACAGACCTTGTTGACAAGTATCTTCAGATAATTGTCTATATAGGCAACATATAGCCACTCAGTATTCATTTTTTGAAGTCAAGTATTATAATATATAAAAGTCACTTAATATGATCTTATATTTGGATCAACTGAGGTGATAGGACAAGTCACAAATGCTTGGTCACAGTTTGGCCAATATAGGTGATTAAAAGCTTTATCATGATGGTACAATTTCTTAGTGTAAGTTGAAATAGTCACTATCATTTCGAATTCTACAGGGTATAAGTTTGTATGAAAACCTTCATGGCGTTTCCTGTATCTGGCTGATTCTTGTGAAGGTCAACTTTTTACAAACCTTGTCTTTGGCTGTGATACTTTAACTTCGTCCATATCTATACATATACCGTGAGTACTTTTTAACTACACGAAAAAAAATTAGGACCTACAAAGCCGTCGCTTGTGGTTCACCAAAAGTTGTTAAAATCTCTGTGTTAACAACTATCCCCTAGGTTCATGTGTAACATTAGTCTACAGTCGTGGGTGCATTCCTCGGTTAATTTCTTGACATTTTGTATACTTGTCAGGTTTCTTCGCGTTTGACTGCTTCATTAGTAATTTATAAACGCTATGTGAACCGATGTAAAGACTTAACGTTTATTAGTACCTGTATTGACACTAGCTAACAAAAATTTGATAATAGTTTTAAATTTGTTTTAGAAATAGAAATATCAGTGCATCTATAATGCGGTGGATCCCTCTTGAAGCAAATCCCAAGGTATGATTTCAGTTAGTGAATAACATTCTACTGTCACAATGATTTAGGTGATGAATGAGGTGAATATAATTTTTGAAATTTAATCAACCTCTTTCTCTCTCTCTATCCGATCATGTAGTACATGAATAACCTTGGAGTTGTTGATAGTGTATGGAAATTTACCGATGTATTTAGTTTGGATGATGATATGCTTGCATTTATACCGCAACCAGTCATAAGCCTGTTGTTCTTATATCCCTTAGGCAACTCGATTGAAAATGCATCATTAGGTGTTGAGGATAATTCATCTAAAGTTATTTTAATCAAACAAACCGTTGGTAATGCTTGTGGAACTATAGCTATATTGAATGCTATAGCTAATAATCGAGATAAATTGAGTATCAAAGGTAAGTTTTTCCATCATTTGAGTGTGTGTTCTAATCTCTTCTCATGCAATAAGACTTTGATAGTCTTTCGTGTGTTCTTTATATGTTCTTTTGTCTCAAATATGCATACAAAACACTGCTTTGCTTATTACTTGATTATCAAGGATTGGTTTGCAGGGATTTTATTGGTTACAGGTTTGATCATGAGTTGACATCGATTAGGGAACGGTTGAAAGGTTGAAAGGTACTATGGCTATGTTTGACTGTGAAGCGAGTGCCAAGACAGTACATTGCACTAATCAAGGCACTCTATTCAAACTCACGTAGTCGTGTAAGGGCTTATGGGGAATTGTCATCTGAATTGGTAACAACCAGTGGTGTCCGACAGGGATGTCCACTTTCCCATTTCTGTTTAACTTCATCATAGATATGCTGATGGAAGTATCCTTAACTGAACGTAACGACTCAGGAATCGACTTGTTACCAGGGAATAGTCTTATGGACTTAGAATATGCAGGTGACATAGTCGTGTTAGGGGAGGATGCTGACAAAATGCAGATTCTTCTGAACACCTTGAGCAGCAATCTTCGTATGTTTGGCATGCGATTCGCCCTTGCAAAATGTAAGATGCTGCTACAGGACTGGACTGCGTCAACTCCTAACTTAGTGATAGGGAGTGAAGTGATAGAACATGTTGACCACTTCACCTATTTGGGAGGTTCTATCAGCACCAACGGACTGATTGGTGATGAAATCTCAACACGGATCCAAGAAACTCGAGCTGCTTTCGCTGACTTACACCATCTCTGGCGTAGGCGTGACATCCGGCTATCAACCAAGGGACGTGTGTACTGCTCAGCAGTTCGCTCCGTCCTTGTCTATGGCTCTGAAACATGGCCAATGCGAGTTGAAGACATGAAAAGGTTGACTGCTTTCGATCACAGATGTCTGCGATCTCTGTCTCACGTTAGGTGGTTTAATAAGGTAAGTAATGTTGACGCTAGGCGTAGAGTGTTGGGCAAAGAGGGAAAATCAATCGACGAGGCTATAAAGTTAGATAGATTGAGATGGTTACGTCACGTGCTCCGCATACCTAACCATCGCCTCCCCCGACGGGCATTACTAGCTGATATAGGTGCAGGTTGGAAAAGGGTAAGTGGTGGCCAAACAAAAACATGGCCTCATCAATCCATGAAATCCTTGACAGTTAAACTGAGTAAGGTAGGTAGGGAGATGCAGACTTCCGGGTTGGGGCCCTCGGGACTCTAAGAATCAATGGCTGGAGACAATAGGTGACATGGCTCAAAATCGTTGTCAATGGCCAGCGCAGATGTATTCAGTCTCTGTTATCTTTCACATTCCTTTCTACCATTACCCATTCTGTTTCACTCTTACACCTGTCAAACTCTATTGATTCTCTTCACTCATCTTCTTGTCTACGTTTGTGTGCTATTTGGAACGTGGCAACTCGAACTGCTGCACTTCGCTGCCATGTTCTATGTTGAATCCAGACAGAGAGAAAACAGAGGGAACGGTTGAAAAACCGCTGAGTACTGGACAGGTGTTTCGTTCTAGCTTTGGTCTCCTCAACAGTCTGCACCTAATAAGGTTCAAAACTTGTTGTAACGGAGTGTGACATGTTGGTTGCTGTCTAATCTGACTAGAATAAACTTCCGGTCACGACACTATATTCCCCTAAACTGAGGTAGATACAAAAGTCTGATTTAACTGCTACAATTACGATGACAACAATCTTTATTCTTCACAATAAAAAAAGTATATATATCATTTTCACATCCACGGGAACTTAAACCATAGATAATCAATATCCGATTTGACTGCATCAATCATGACTCTACTGCTAACAAGCAAAGTTAGTCCGTCCTAATAAACGCAGGACCTTCCTGTTAGAAGGCGAGCTCATAGACCATTCAGCTACTGGTAGTCTACCAATGATCATGCACATGAATTCCAGCTGCTGCCAATCCGCTATGCATATAACGCAACCTCCAGGCAGTGCCATAGGCGAGTAACTGTTGTCTCATCTGACTTAATCGTCTTTATCATGTTATGATTACTATTCGTGCCAAGTGTAAAATGGTCTGTCTATACAAGTAAATCATAAAGTATGTGGTACGTTACTGAACACCTGACGATTTTAAAGATTTAAAATTATCGTGTGTTCATTTATAAAATTCAAGTAAAAAATATCGTTACCTTTATAGGTATTTCACCAAGTAAACATCCGTCGGTTTCATTACCGATATATAATCTGTGTGATTTCAGTCTATCTAGTCGTTCTCGATGGAGTTCTCATTTGTTCAGAGCTAGAAGTATAACCATATACAGATAAGGCTATATGAATTAGTTTACCTGTATATATATATATATATATATATATATATATTCAGTTTAAGTTATCTGTTCTTTATCTGCAGCTAAACTGGAACTCTGCCAAGCCAGTTTTAATTGTGAGGATTAAAAAATAGGGTGGGCAAACTGAATCTAATTGTCTGTCTATTTTCAACATAGAACTTTGCACATATGTGCGGCATTTCGAGTGGCCACACTCCATGTAGCACACAAAGTAAGAGAGGAAAGTAGAAGAAATGCATAATAGAGACAGCAAACAGAGGTGTGAGACAAAGAAATAGTAATAACGAAGAACAATATAGTTTTATTGGAAATCATAAGTCACAGGGAGTGGATGCATCTGTGCCAGGCATTGACAACGATTTTGAGCCATATCACCAATTGTCTGCAGCCTTCATTGGTTTTTACTGTCCCAAGGACCCCAACCAGGAAGTCTACACATTCCTACGTGGCTGGCTTGAACTAACTGTTGTGGATTTCATTGACTGGTGCCATGTTTTGGTTTGACCACCACTGGCTCCTTTCCAACCTGACCCTATGTTAGCTAACATTGACCGTCGTGGAAGGCGATGGTTAGGCTAGGCAAACGCAACACATGTCCTAACCATCTCTATCAATGTAAATGCACAGACTTGGTGATTGATTTCCCCTCCTTACGTAGCACTCGACTGACGCCTAACCTAAATATTGCTCACTTTATTATACCACTTCACACGGGGGATAAAACGCAGGCGCCTATGATCAAAGACAACTAGCCAGTTTTTTCATGTCTTCCACTCTGAATGGCCAGGTCTCGCTCACATACATAAAGGAGGACGGAGTGAAGTGACTGCTGGGCAGTACACACGTCGTTTGGTCGACAGCGGGCCGGATATCATGTCTACGCCAGAGATGGCGTAAACTGGCGTATGCGGAACTAGTCTTCTGTATCCCTGCTGAGATTTCGTCAGCGATCAAACCGCTGGCGTGTTGGCTGATACAACTTTCCAAATAAGTGAAGTGTTCAACACACTCTACCACTTCACTTCCTATTTCTAAGCTAGGAGTCAATGTAGTCCAGTCCATTTATAAGCCTTCAGTCTACTGTTGGCAAGTGTAATTCACCAAACTATAGTTTCAACAAACATCATTTGGTATCTGTGAGCATTAGTTTGCTAACTAGGTATGTCACACAGTATGACACTATTATTTACCGGATATTTCAAATAAAATTAATTGCTCACATATGTGCACCAAATGGTTTTGAAAACTCTTTAAAATATTGATAGTGTACACGTTGTTACTCTTTTACTTAAATTTTGAAATATACCCGGTTTTTACGTGGAATAGTTGGGGATTATTATTATTATTGTTTGATTTTTTTTGTTAGAGGTCCTGAAGTAAGATGAGGCTGAAGAAAAGCTAATGTCACACAGACACACACACTAAATGACGATTCCAGTTATTTGCAACGGTGCATGTCACACAGTTAGGATACCCATAAATGACTAAAGCTTTGAAAATTTTCCAACTCGGTTAGATCTTTCTTTGTTGTTTCACATCCATTTTTATTTGCTACCGCTTCACATGGTAAGTATTGCTGAGACTTGAATTAATGCTCCCTCTCCTCTTAACAGGTTACACTTAGATTTGCTTATCTCTTTGTCAATTGAAAAACCACCTACACATGATTTTCAACTTGTGACCGAACAACTTCCGGTTAAAGATATAAGCTCCCTAAATCAACCTTTTAGATAACTAATGGATATGAGACACTCATGACGTGGTAAATTCACTAGACGAAACTTGGTTATGCTAATAGTCAGCATAACCTCTCTTGGTAAAGAGTTCAAAGGTGTTTTTTTCTCTCTTAATTTTCTCCCATCTTTATATTTCTGAGTTGAATTTCAGCTATCCAAGCTATCAACCCTAATGAATTAAGTAGCTATGTATTACTAGCTTTTTGAAAGCCTTAAACTTCTTCGAGTAGCTCTTCATATTCCTCGTCAGCGTCTGGAACTACGTGTCGTGAGATGGTTAGGACATGTGTTACGTATGCGTAGTCATCGCCTTCCTCAACGGACAATAATAGTTGATATAGGGTCAGGTTGGAAAAGAGCTGGTGGAGGTCAAACGGAAACACGGTTTCATCAGTCAATGAAACCCATAACAGTTAGTTTAAGCCAGTGATGTAGGGAGATGTAGACTCCCTGGTTGGAGTCCTTGGGACAGTAAACACCGATGGCTGGATACAATTGGTGATATGGCTCAAAATCGTTCTCAGTGGCTGGCGGAGATGGAACTACTCCTTGTGACTTAAAATACACAATGAAACTATATTGTTCTTCGATATTAATATTCTTTGTGTCTCATATCTCTGTTCACTGTCCCTTTTTTGCGCTTCTTCTTTACTTCTCTGGCTTTGTGTGCTACAAGGAAAGAGTGCGGCGACTCGAACTGCTCCACATTTGTGCAAAGTTCTATGTTGAAACCAGTCAGTCAGGAATTACAGTACCATCATTTTTGGTGGAAGCGATATCAGCAGTTATTGAGAATAATGGTGTTAGAAATAGACGGAACCGGGTTGGTAGAAAAATTAGGATGAATCTTAGTAAGATATTATGGTCTTAAATTCTTTCTATTCCATCTCTTCAATTGCTATCGCTCCTCTACTTGTCTCCAGTATTTTCTCCTAGTATCCGTCGCTTTTTTTGTTCTGAACTTCTACCAGTTAAATGTCAGCTCATCATTTGTTTATTTGTATAGATTCACACTACAAACTACTTGTGTATTAACACAAGCATCACATCATAAAAGAAGTAAATATGTATTTTCTAATTCTTTTTTATTCCTTTACATTCCCAGTGGAACATAGGGTGCCTTCAAGCTATAGGCTTGAAGTTTCGATAGCAGTGGTGTTTATTTTTACGGGAACGCCCAACATTCCCTCTTTACCAGTATTATTACTGGCTTAGCGAGGTAAAGGAGTGCATTGGTGGCGTCGGGGATCGAACCCCGAACTACATGCGTAGTCGGCAAGTATTCTAGCAATGTGCCACCGACCCACACATATGTATGTATGTAGTATTTAAATATATTGGTCATTGATCATGTGAAAGTGGATTCATTCCTTTCCTGTAGTATAAACCTTTATCTCTGGACTATTTTCTTTGCTGATTTTATTTGTGTGGATATATTGTTGGGAACTGCAGCAGGTGAAGCTAACGTAGGATGTAAATTCATATTTGGCCCGTGTTCTAAGTGACAGAGACAATGTTAAGCGCGAAACCTTTGACTTACTTTTTTGTTAAATAGCATAATTTTAGGCCCCTTTATTTCTCTCGTATTTGTATTCTGTAGTGAACACCTTCTTAAACATACTCAGCTACCTAAATTATTAACATTGGCTTACTTTTTTTGTACTTTACTCTATTCCTTCTTTTGTGTATCTACTGGTTCCGACTATATTAGCACTGATTATCCCCGTATACAAGAAGGGAGACAAGTCTTCCTGTGATAATCACAGAGGGATTAGCTTGACTAATATAGTATCTAAAGTCCTAGGCTCAATAATCATGCGTAGACTAAGTGGTGCTCGGGAGGTACAAACACGAGAGAGCCAGGCAGGCTTTAGACCAGGAAGAGGGTGTATTGATCATATCTTCACCCTCCGACAGATTCTAGAACATAGGCATTCCTACCCGCGTCCAACAGTCATTATATTTCTTGACCTAAAGGCAGCATTCGACTCTGTCGATCGAGAAGTTCTCTGGAGATGCTTGGCTGTAAAGGGAATTCCGAGAAAATATATTGCACTGATTAAGGCACTCTACTCGTACTCATACAGCCAGGTGAGGGCTTACGGCGAGCTGTCATCTGAACTGATGACGACCAGTGGTGTCCGTCAAGGATGCCCATTATCCTCTTTAGTATTCAACTTCATCATAGATGTGTTAATGGACTTAACCCTAAGTGACTTCAGCGACTCAGGGATTGACTTGCTACCAGGGAGGGAATAATCTCGTTGACTTGGAATATGCAGACGATATAGTCCTTCTAGGCGAAGACGCTGAAAAAATGCAGAGTCTTCTAAACACGTTGAGCCGCAATCTATGAATGTTTGGCATGCGATTCGCTTCCACCAAATGCAAGATGATGTTACAGGACTGGACTACATCGACGCCTAGTTTAAAAATAGGAAGTGAAGTGGTAGAGCACGTTGACCGCTTCACTTATTTGGGAAGTACCATCAGCCCCAACGGGCTGATCTCTGACGAAATCTCAGCACGAATACAGGGGCTCGTTTCGCATTTGCCAGTTTACGCCGACTCTGGCGTAGACAAGATGTTCGACTATCGACCAAAGGGCGGGTGTACTGCTCATCAGTCCGCTCCGTCCTCCTTTATGGTTGTGAGACCTGGCCACTGAGAGTGGAAGACATGAAAAGACTAGCTGTCTTTGATCATAGGTGCCTGCGCTCTATTTCCCGTGTGAAGTGGCATAATAAGGTGAGCAACATTGAGGTTAGGCGTCGAGTTCTAGGTAAACAGGGAAAATCAATCGACGAAGTCGTGAAGTTACAAAGACTGAGATGGTTAGGACATGTGTTACGTATGCCAAGCCATCGCCTCCCTCGACGAGCAATGTTAGCGGATATATGGTCAGGCTGGGAAAAAGCTAGCGGCGGTCAAACAAAAACTTGGCACCAGTCAATGAAATTCACAACAGTTGGTCTAAGCCACGTAGGAAGGTGTAGACTTCCAGGCTGGGGTCCTCGGGACGGTAAAAACAAATGGTTGGAAACAATTGGTGACATGGCTCAAAATCGTTCTCAGTGGCGCAGATGCATCCACTCCTTGTGACTTATGATTTCCAATGAAACTGTTTTGTTCTTCGTTATTATTCCTCCTTTGTCTCACACCTCTGCTCACTGTTTCTATTATGCTTTTCTTGTACTTTCTTCTCTTGCTTCGCGTGCTACACGAAGTGTGGCGACTTGAACTTCCGCACATTTGTGCAAAGTTCTATGTCGAAAACAGACAGACAGACAGACATATTAGCACTATGAGTATTACAAAGTTGTCCTGTCGTTAACCTTCATGTAATGTTAGTTTTGTGATTGTATTTTTTTTGTTCGGCAATATTAACTGGCAATCTTGGTTGTAAATGCCATTATTACCATCCTAAAATTTTTGTATTATGCATGATTACTCACACTACCACTACAAACACCGTATTAGAGCTGACAATAAAAAGAACAATCTGAAATGTTTATTTTATGATTGTTTAGTGTTGTTCAATCAAATTAACTGATCATGTTGGCTATAAACATTCTTAATATCATTTCATAACTTCTAGTATGACTATAGCCTTACTGTTCACCACGCATAAACAAATCATAGCTTCCACTACCCAATACTGAGATATTATTTATAATGTTGTTTATCTTCCACTGCTACAGAAACTTCAAGCCACTAGCTTGGAGCCCTATGTTCCACTGGGAACGTGAAGGAAAAATTATATTATTATTATTATTATCTTCCACTCTACTTCTCGATATTTTTTTCGCATTTTTTGCTATTTTGTGTTTTTTTTTAATTTTTTGAAATACTCCATTTAAATGTCTGATAAAATTAGATGCAATATTGTAGATAAGTGCTGAAAATTCCACACTGTACCACTAGTACTGTTTCTTGAATAAAGCAAATACTTATATCATATTATATCATATATTGTCCAATGTATTTTATTTGCTTAAATTCTCTGTATTGATTCCTCATAAAGTGTATTAATTCTTTTTTTTTCTTAAAAATATTTCCTAGACGGTTCATTTTTAAGCAATGCCTTAGATGGAATTGAAGATATGACACCTGCTGAACGTGGTGCTGTAATGGAAAGCAAAGTAATTGATTTTGTGAATTTGTTGACACTTCATTCTCCTTGTAGAAGGATCTGTCTATCTTACATGAAAAATCAGCTTTAGAAGGACAGACAAATGTTTGTTGTTATTATTGAACCTCTTTATTATAATCCTTCATCAAATTAGGCACCTGGTGCAGAGTCAAAAACAAATTTACACTTTGTCTGTTTTGTTGAACACGGTGGTAGTCTGTATGAACTTGGTAAGTAGAGTGTGGTTGATTTTACTAGTTTTTATATCTTTTGAAGTATTTTTATGCTTGTGTCATAGTTTTTGGGTTTTTTTTTGTTTGTTTATAATTATCCCTATGCGCAGCCAACGGAACATAGTGGCGGGGAGGGGGTTGCTTCGAGCTTTGAGCTGTGAAGTTTCAGTAATAGTGATATTTTTTAAAAATTTTTATGGGGTGGTGGAGTTGTTTGTCTCACGCCCCCCCACAAACCTTTTTTTGCCGGACTTATTACCACTGATGTAAGAATAGAACTTGTGCCTTATGGATAAATTTATTTTGAGAAAGTCTAATAGTGTTTGTGATACAGTAATATTTACTGATGACCACACGTTTCGAGCACAATTTATCACTGCTCATAATCATATCAAGGCACTATTCATACAACTTTCTAAATTCGTTTATATAATTCCATTATTTTCCATCGCTTGACTTGATTGGTAGTAGTATTTTCCATATTTCCGATATGAGTGATGAGTCACTGCATGTGTTGGGTGTAGATTATTCTATGAACAAAGATTCACTAATCGAACTCTTTCCACCTACCTATATTACTTCTTAGAATTCTAACCCTCTCCCACCCACCCCATTTTGTAGTTGTGTGTTAATGCATGCAGTGCAATATATTGGTGAGCTTTTTTCTAAATTACTTATCTTCTCGGGGTCAATCATTCTTACCTTAGCTGAATTTTCCTGTTCTGATGATCTGACTACCCCCGATCTACTAGTTTGACCTATGTAGTTAACTTAACTCACAGTCATTGCAAGGTATTTTGTAAATTATATTATTTTGTCTAATTGGGTCAACCAACAGGGACCTTTAAACCACAGAGCTAGATTTAAATGCCACTCTAATTCCTGCTTTATTAAAAATCCTACGTAGGGTCTCAGATGTCCCCTCCGTATATGAATAAACTGTAGATGCCTTATATTTTCTCTTATTTATGTTATTATTACTAGTTTCACAATTATTTTTATTTTGTCCTTTTCTGACCTTCCTAATGAATTTTATAGGATATTTATTTAACAGTATTATTACCAGCTAAACTCGGGGTGTTGGAGAAAGCATTTGCTGGCGGGCGGGGGGGGGGGTCGGACTGTGGAGCATGTGTCCTGGGTTAGCTAGCATTCTACCTTCCCGCCACCAATGTATGTTATAATGTTGTAATACTTTTATTCTTTCACGCCTAATCACGCAGGTGGTCCTGGGTTCGACTCGACACACTCCTAAACCTCGCCTAGTTTTGCTTGTCGATGATAAGTCGATAGAAGAAGGGAGGTTAGGTGTGAGTGAGGCTAGCAACACTATCTTTCGTGTAAATAACACCACTACTACTGAAACGTCAAGGCTTAGTGCCACGCCTTCCTTTCGAAACGCAAAGAAATTTAAGAAAAAAAACCCTAACCAATGCATACATACACCTGTTGACACACTTGGTTTGCAAGTCGTATTATATATATAAGCGTCATTGTTGTTATTTGTGTAGATACACGGAGCTAAATTATGTCTCTATTATGCTTTTCTTGTACTTTCCTCTCTTGTTTTGTGTGCTACATGGCGACTTGAACTGTCGCACATATGTGCAAAGTTCCATGTCGAAAACACACAGCCAGACAGAAATTATGAATCGACTAAGTGGGTTGATTACTGCATTTTGATTACATCAAATAAGCATTTAACTTGTTTATTAATTTTAAATAAATTGCTTAGAAATTGTGAGGCTGAAAATTAAAATCACTTCAGATATGATAGAGAAGATTTGTAGCTCAGGTGGATGATTTTGATGTGGTTGTGTTCTTTGAGGTGGCTAGTTAATTTGCGAAGCTTCCATCACCCTACTATGTGACATCTTCAGCGCATACTTCAATTTGGGGAAGTGAGCTTTTCGATTTCTCCACGAGTTTATTAGTCATCTCTCCTGGTGGGTGGCCTTGGACATGATTGGTTGTTTTTGTGCGTTTTCACACCTTCTAGGTTACTTGTGTTGGAACTGATTATTTCTTTGACTTGAACTTTGACCTTTTGTGTGTGAGCTTTCCTTCTTATCGGTTGATAAATTTTGTCTATCTCGATGTGTCTATTGATTGATGATTTACTGGAGTACCAGCTTCAAAATATTATATGGCATTCTTGGTGTTTCCTCTGTCTAATATTTGAACGCTTATTGTCCCAGTCCGTGGTTGTCTGTTTGCAGTGAGGCGATATGAGGGAGTGGACCTCATGTCGTTTGACGACTAGTCTGTGTTCGTGGCCATTTGTTGTTAAAGTGTAACAACTGCGAATAACACTAAATTGGCCAAGTAGACGTCCTCTTTGTCTTCGTATCCACGAACATAAACCAGCCGTCAAAAGACATGACATCCACTCCCTCATATCACCTCACTTCAAACAGGCAACCACGGACTGGGACAGTTAGCGTACAAATATATTTTCTTCGGAATATTTCTTGAGGAATAGTCTCTTGATTGGTTCATTCCAGGAGTTTCTTCCTGATAATTCTCTTTGGCCATCCATCTATTCTTCAATATGCAGCCAGCAAAGATGGTAGATAATAATAAAAGTCTGCAATTGGCTGTTCGAAATGGTTTTCGTGACTTACATGCGGTACAAGTTTCTGACCCATATGGAAGCAGTGACTGACTGACAATTGGTTTTGGAAATCCGAATTTGTTTTTTATGCTGTAGAGTGGAAAGGATTTCCAAAGTGATTCCAGAGTGATGGAGATCTGTCTTGCCTTTCCAATTCTGATTTGCTTTGGTATCCTCATTCATGTCTGTTGGCTTAGTTGAAAGGATGCTGTCTAGCCGGTTAGATGAATGAAGTGATATAATTAAAATTTACTCCGTTGATAATGACTGGTGCTTGTTGTTGTTGTTGTTGCTTGGCTGGTTGATTACTTTCATCACCTCCATCTTCTCTGTGTGTTTACTTGAAGTCCTCTCTTTGCTGCCTACTTCTTCTCCAGTTTGCTGGTTTTCGCGTGTATGTCTTCGAGTTTGTGTGATATTAAACACAAACCAACCGCGAAGTCGAGATCTTCTAGTCTTCTTATCGGTGTCGCCTCGCACGTACGGAGTTCTACGTAATCCAGTCCACCAGAATTAGGAATATCACTGGTGATAGTAGACGGTCTTATATTACTGCCGTCTTCACAAAGAGTGCCTGCCTGAGTTTCCTTGTGGACCATCTGACACGTGGCATTTTCATATAGTCAGCTGTTTAATGAGGTTGATAGAGATTTGGGGTACGCCATAGTATTGGAACAGTTTCCAAATCTTGATAGAGAAAGAAAGAAGGACCAGATTTACAGTATAAAATCATGTCATCATTCTATTTCACAGGCTATCATCAGCTGCAAACTACCTGAAATTACAATACTTCAATGTTTGAAATGTGATAGAGAAAACATTGTAAGATGAACGCATTAGGAATATAAGTATTATAGTTTTTAGTTTAAGTTACCATCAATTTATATGTTATCAAACTATGAAAAAAAGGCGGGGGTGGTGAGAGAAAACAGAAAACCTAACAAACAGTGTTACCAGGGGAACCAAATGTATGAAGTTTCTAAATTACTTCTTGGTCAACGTTGTCGAAGGCCTTTTCAAAGTCGATGAAGTTGAGATAGAGGTTTGACTGCCATTCTATGCTCTGTTCGATGATGATGCGTAGAGTTGCAATTTGATCGCACACGATTTGCTTCTCCTTAATCCAGCATGTTCCAGTCGGAGTTCCAGCGTATTTTTTTGTCTCTCAAGGATGACGCGACTTATTATTTTCTCTTGGCGTAGACAAGAACATGACTCCGCACCAGTTCTTTCAGAGGACTAAAACTAGAGATAATCCTTTCATCCCATTGTCGCGAACATTCTAAAAAATTTCGTTGCAGATTTCATCACTAGCCAATGTCAGTTAGCGATAGCTAAAAATCTAAATTCGAAGAAATACTTAGCAAAGTTAAACTGTTGCGATCCATAGAATGCGAACGCACGACGGACCTTGGGGCGACCAATCAGAAAAATCGGTGCTTTTCAGATAAAAATGAAACAAGACAGAATAATGATAAAGCACATTAAACAGGACATTTTTCCCTGACGTGAATTAAAAAAAAAATACCTCTCAGTTATTGTAATGAGGAGTATTGGAGATCATGGAAACGTTAAACGTGTAGTACTTAACGCCACCGAGGAAGTTGATTGGGCTTCCCTTCAAACAGCCTATATTGACTAACAGAATATCTAATGAACACCAAGTGTGTGGGAATGATAAATTTTAGAGTCGAAAAATGAAGAATATATCCCTAGCATCGCGTTATATTAACGTCAAGTGTAGCAGGAGCGGGCGTGGGGGTGGGCAATTGGCGCATGGTAAGCAATATTCTTTATTCCGTAGAACCATAAGTGAAATATATCGTAGCCAAGATACATGAAGTACTTGGACAAGCCAGTCCATGTAACACAGAAGCCCACGCTTTGACAACCTTTTTGATAGCCATTGTTACCTATCATCACCCTTTATTTAGAATGTTTTACTTTGGTAAGTGTAATCACCATCTCACCATTTTCACTCTTTTAACACCAGTAATATGTATTACATTTCATTCCATATGATGAAATTGAGTAGACGTACTGTTTCTTGTATTGATTATTAGATGGTCGAAAAAATGCACCTATTCGACACGGATCAATTACATCAGCTGGTTTTCTATCGGATACATGCAATGTAGTAAAAAAATTCATTGCAAATTCACCTGATACTGTGGATTTCAGTTTGATGGCTTTATGTCCTGATAACAACTGAGCGAGCGAGTGAGCGAGAGAGAGAGTGGGACCGGTGAATCGATGTTCCATTTCTTGTATCTTTTGATTCATGATAATCTCCCTTTTTTGATACTCTTTATATAATGAATACATTTATCGATGTGTTTTACCTAATCAACTTGATTCGTCTTGTGTTTCATATTGAGTGAAAAAAGGTTCGATGAGTATTAAGCCTCATAGAAAAACGGTGGTTCAAATAGAATAATGGTTGTATTTTTGACTATGTATGCTAGTTGGATAGGGCGGAGTAGAACGTCATTTGATGAGTGTTCAGCGGTTCAGTTTATCCCATTATAATGTTGCATGATTGTGGGGAGATGAGTAAATTGCTGAGAATTCTGGTGATAAAATGTGTGGGTTCACTGGTTCACAAGAATACGTTGGACCGATAACAAGACTGTCTAAAGATGTAGATTTCGCGGTGATTTATGTCTATTGTCACATAAACTCGAAAATACACAGGCAAAAAAGCAGCAGTGTCGGTAGAAGAGGCAGGTAGAGAAGACAGAAGTGATGAAGGTACCTAACCAACAAAAAGAGAAGCACCAATTACTGCCAACATAAATTCGAAAGTGGCCACTTTCTTCACTTATCCGACCAAGTGGCCTCCTTTAAGCTACAGACACATGGCACATATGAGGATATCAAAACCAGTCATAATCAGAAAGCCAAGACAGACCTTCATCACTCTCAAATCCTATTTGGAAATCTCCTCCACTCCATAACATAAACAACAAAGTTCGAACTTTCAATAACGATGTTAAATCATTCAGTTCTTCTGTATGGGTCAGAAACTTCACTGTGCCCGCCCGCACCAATAAAAGCATTCCCAACAGGTCAATGCAGACTTATATCAGCAACTGCCCTCTTCACTAGTTCCATATTCAAGATCAAATCTCCGTCCAGAAAGAATTAGCAAGAATTTATTGCTCAACAAATGTTTCGTATAAAATGAAGATGGATCGGGGACACACACACACCAGTGAGAAGACCGTTCAGCGATATAGCGCGCCATCTGTCGCTTGAGTTAAGGTCAAATGGTAATCGACGAGTTGGATGTTGGTTTGATGGTGATATGGAGAGGTCGTGTGGTGAGGAGAAGAGGAGAGCTTATGGGGAATCTTGGGTCCGGTTGAAGAGGACTGTAGGGGACAGGGTGCAATGAAGGTATTCTACTGAAGCTGTATGTTCCACTTGTAACCCAAGGGAATAATTATATATATATATATATATATATATATATATATATATATATATATATGGGGAACTCGTGAGTCGTAACTTTGTAAAAGATAGAAACTACCCAATGAACCATAAATAAAATAAATGAAAATCCAGAGGAAATTTTCATTATTAGTGAACTTATTTACAAGGACTGTACAACTGTGTTTACACTCAGTAAACTGTATACTAGTTTATAAATTGAATACTGGGGTTGGGGTAGTGACCTAGAAGTGGTTTCTACGCACATCAAAGACAAAATTACATAATAATCAACAAGACAATGGAAAATACAGATTTTAAATTTGATGAAGAAAAAATTGTTATTAAATGACAATTGTGAAGCAGAAAACTATATGTAATTGTGAATCCAGCAAGTAAGAAGTAGTTATTATTATTATTACTAAAGAGAGAGTTCGAGCATGTCTTGTCGGTGACTTCACTATACCCAATTGTCAAAATCTGACACAACATCCGACTTATTTTGTAGATAATTCTGTGAATGAAGATTGGGTGAGCAGCATGATACGAATTCTGCAGATGCTCATGAATTGAGTTTGTGATCGAATCGCGTTACTATTTTGATACCTAAACTGGATAGTATTTTGAGATGCGTTTGGAGAGTACGGTTGCGATTCTGTGGACCATTTATCCATATCGCTGAGGGAATCACTTTTTTTTACTGAGCTAGGAATTAATATCTTAAGATGGCAAATGTTTGTTGGATGTGTGAGGTATGAAATAACGTCTTGGATCACTTTTCTGAGTGTTTAGATGTTTATTTGCTCTTGTGGATCTAGGTACTCAGGATACTCACGACTGTACATCTTTGTAAAAGTTATGTAGCAATTTACTGTCTATACCGACATACTTCAATTCACTGAAGTTTCCATATCGTTTAATGTACGTTAGCTCCACGATAAGTTTAGAGAACCACAGAAGTAGTCAGATGAAGGCTGTGTTAAATTCGGCTCTTCTCTTAGTGTTTTGTGGTTTATTTTAATAAGATAATTGAAGTAAGTTCCTCGACATGCTGTTGTTATTCATGACTCACAACACAAATGATATGTGTTTTGGCTTCAACTCTCTTGTGTCTTTCACTATCGAAGAACAATATTAAGTTATGAATATTACTAAAGTGTACCTCTGTTACGTTTCACAATAAGTCGAGATTGAAGTAGGGACATCGAGTTGGACAAAGCCACTAATCATGACTGCGCCAACAACATGTTATACAACAGCTACCTGTTTCCGCAGCCTGCACTACTTAAACGACAATACAAAAGGACGTGAGCTGAAAAGAATATTTCACGCAATAATTTAGAAAACCACTATGTATATGTCAATTAGTCTGTAATCATGATCAATAGAATAGGGGGCGTTATTTTACGTGAACCAAATTGTGATTGGTTAATTTTCAGACTGGCTATCGATCGCTTACGTTTGCCAATTGTGATTGGTTTATTTCCACACTAGACATCGACCACCGTATCTATCTTGTGAGAATGCATGTGTGATTTATTCTGTAACTTCCTAACTCTTATTTTGTCCTTATTTATTGATACACATTGTGCCAAGTTTCTTGTTTGGATAAAGAAAAAGTAACAGCAGTAATAATCATGGTGTTGATCATTATAGTTTTATATAGTTAGTCTGCTTTCGTTAATTAAAGTTTGTTTCTTCTGAATTTAACAGAAAGCTTTCTATCAATGTCATTATTTTAATGATTGAGTTTTGACTGAATCACCACAGTTCAGAATTAGTTGTGTGTCAAACCAGAGAACATATGTTTGTATTCAGTGTTTATAGTCTGTTTACTACGTCGTATACGATAAAATGATTTATGAATCATAGAATCAAATAAATTAAATTTTGATATTTAATAATGTTCACTTTTTTGAGCAGGGTGATTGTCTCAAGGGTACCGCTTTATTCTGTAATAGGTAAACAAGTTATCTATTTTAATCTGTCTTCTGTATGACCTGAGTGAAAATTGTGACAGTGAATTAATTAGTGAAAACAACAATAATAATAATGACATCGGATATATAGATTACCTATCTACAAATGATCTAAAATAAATGCTATGAATTAGCTATCTAACAAGAGAGACCATTGAGAAGTGAATTGATTAGTCATACATCAGAAATGACTTCTATGGCTTATACCTATGGTGTATACTAGGTTTATTTCACTGTGAATAATAGTATAGTAACATAAGTTTACCTCAGGTTTTGGTTACTTCCTATTGATTAGGAGTTACAACAAGTACATGAGTCAGGTTGAAAAGGTGTTTTCTCCAAATGACACAAAAGAAATTGCTTAATGGTGTTTCATCTCTTTTTGCTTGTATTTTTTAAAACTATTATTGTTCCCCTAGGTTCTAAGTGGAACATATGGCTTCACCATCACATTTCCACTTCATCCTATTCCCTGCCGTTCTCTTTAGCTGGTCTCACGATTGCCCATGGTCTCTCATCTCCACCTCACTACACGACCGATAGATGCTACGTTGACGTGGTTACCACTGGGCTTGCATATCGCAATGACCCAACAAGCTAAACGGGCTGGAACTAATGTTCCTGCAGGTTCTATGATGCCAGGCAGATTAGATTAAAGCAGTTACCGGCGTAGTGTAAGAATTTTTCCGTTACAATATACTCGGGGTCTGTGGGCGAAGTTGTACTGCTGGGGAACAGGGATATAACAGCAGTAAGGTGTTTCCCTCAGATGACCAGCATGCCAGCCACCTATGCTGTCTCTCCGCCCTGGAGAGAGGGTGGAGTTCAAACAAGCCGTGTTTGACCGTCCTCAAGTCCCCTGGGCTCTGCAGTCACACAACACCAATTCTCCTCTCGTTTCAGGTACCTCAAGAATAAATCAGCTTCCTTGGTGTGGGCAGGTGGGAAGTAAAAACCGCCCACACACTTCGAAAAGCACACGAAACCCTCCTGATCATCATCATCCGTGTCACCCTCATCTTGCTTCCCTACTGCTGTTAATACTATTCAGCAGGCTGGTCAGTCATCTTCATTGCGTTCTGTAACCATTAATAGCGACGAGAGCTAGAAAAACACCCCCGGCAGCCTCTTAAAGCCACGCCACCAACTTCATATTGGAACATTCAACGTCAAGACACTCTGCCAAATCGGACAACAGGCATTACTAACAAGAACTCTGGCATCTCGAGCCATGGATGTATGTTGTGTTTCGAAGACACGCATACAAGATCCGAGTGTGGTTATTCACTTAACCCCACCCGGCCAAGAAGGTGAATCTGCAAAATTGACCTTAAGGGTTTCAGGAGACCCCTCAGCTAGTTCGTGAGGACTCGCAGGTGTAGGGATAACTTTGAGTGTCAGGGCTGAAAAATCACTTCTCGACTGAATCCTAGCAGGTAGTCGTATGTGTGAAGTTCGTCTTAACGGGGTCGTTAGAAGAGGAAAGGATGGCGTTACCAATTGTCTTTTCGTAGTCTCCGCTTACGCCCCAACAGACTGCATTTGGGATGAACTAAAGGATGACTTCTACCTGAAACTGTCTAATTTGCTGCAAAAAGCAAAACGTTCAGATATAGTTGTTTTAGCAGGCGACTTCAATACCCAAGTAGGGAAGTTGTGCCAGACTGAGAAGTATGTAGGTGGTACGTATGGAGTTCCCTGCCGACGAACCGACAACGGTGATCGTCTCCTACAGTTTTGCTCAGATAATCATCTGTTTCTAGTCAGTACTAACTTCAGGCACAAATAGAGACATTGC